CATTAATACCGAGACAGATTAGGCACTGTGGTGCACAGAGGCGTTCAAAACCCAGTGGCACGGCTTGCAGTCTAATTAAACCAGCGGATGTACAATGACATTAGAATAGTCACGTTTGAGGCTTGACAAAGCCACTCAACCTCTCAGCTCTTCATCAAAGCTTTTTAGCCGCCTTTAACCCCAAAAGTGGTTTGTCAACCTTTCCTTCATATGCGCTTTTGCTGCCTATGTTGCTAAAGAAGGCGATTTTCACCGCGTTTAACTTTTGATCAGACATCGTGACTGCCCCTTCCGTGGACGTACACTTTACTTTCAAACGAGTCTCACTACCTACAATTTCCCCCCATTCCCTCCCCTCCCTTCCCCATAGAGAATTTATGAATCATGATGCTTTAAGTTTAATTTACGAAAAGAAATCACATTCCATCTTTATTACGACTAAAAGATGTGATATCGCGCCCCACAAATTCTAAAATTGTTACCAGAGTCGTGTAAAGGAGTTTTATCTACACTGAGTTGAAAAGAGGCACCACTGCATTTTTAGCCTTGAAATATAGAAAGTTCGTTAATGCTGCGACGATCGTCTTGCCAATTTTCAGCCTTTCAAGTGTGAGATTACCGTCTCACAAGCTTAACAACATGTTGGCGTGCCCTTTTGACCTTCTTGCAAAAGGTGTGGTAAATTCTATCCAATGGGCGTCAGCATCCAGTCCGTGTGGCATCGGATAAAAAGCGGGATCCGGTCCCGCCTCTTTGAGCTGCTGAAAGGTGCCAATGGGTGAGAACGAAGAGGCTGCCACAAGTGAACACACTCTCGTCCCAATCGAGACCGACAATATGAGTGAGGTAAGTCGTTGCAGGACTTTCCGATTGTAACCAGTTACCCTAGCAATGCCATTTACTACTGATCTACTATTTATTTTAATGCACACTTGGTTTTGTTAAAGAGATGCTCGCAGTTAATTTGACAACTGTCTCAACCATTTGTGAATGTAATTTTAAGTCAAAGTATCACTAGACATTTTTTTTAAACATTTATGACCTTTTTTTTTTGATGATTTTATAGACATCCAATAAAGAGGAGAGTAATGCGGCTCCTCCTTCGACAAGAGATGGCAAAGAAGAGCTCGTTCACATGGAGAATCTCTATGCTTCCTGGAGTGAAGACGACTTCCCTAACAAATCTGACCAAGGTAGAAGGGGTATAAACAAGTTGCTGGGGTTCTACGTTGATGCACGCTCGGTTCTCTTAAAGAAGGGCCCTCCTGTCCAAGACCGCGAACCGATATGTTGTGATGGCATCGTCGGTCTCTTCGGTCTTCTCTTCCTCCTACTTGCCGATATAGCCTATGTGGCCTACGCTTGCTTTTATCAAGGTCTGGACAAGGATGGAGACGTGCACCTCCTCTGGATGTCAGCCATTCTGTGGTTCGTGATTCTTGTGAAGATAGCACGCAGGCTGGTTCGTTTGGCACACTCGAATGGTGGTTGCTGGACTGTATTTGCTAAAATGGCGCAACTGTATCACGTTATTGTAAACGGTGTTGTCCGAGTGCTTACAGCTCCATGGAGAGCAATTTGGAATAATGTTTCTGGTGATGAAGCAACTATTCAGCGGAAGAAAGACCTGACCATGGACATGTAAGTCCCCATCCCGCATGTACATCCATGCGGAAAGGTCTAATGGTTGTGAAAGAAAATATTTGCTTGTTGGTAATTAAGGCGCTAACTTGGAATTATGTGAGCAAGATAGATATTTTAATTTTTTTTGTAAATGAATGCTACACAAACTTATAGTGCGGTTTACTCTGCCTTTAC